ACATGGTTAGAATTTATTGGGGAGAGATAGAAGTGTGTGTGTGGTGGGGGGGGGGGGGTTATGGCTTAGGTTTGCAAGAATATGCCATTGAGAGCAGTACATCCACCTCAGCATTTAATGATACCAATAGAGTTGAAGAAAACTTCAGATAGAGGGTTGCTGCTCTGAAAGTAAAGATAGAGGAGATGAGACATATTTAGGTTGAGATACAGGAAGAGATGTGATCATATCGAGCTGAAAATTAGAAGAAAAAGAGCAGTAGCATGTGTATAAATCATAGGGAAGCGATGACACATAAGTTGATTAGAAAATACTGAAGTTGATGTTGGAGTTTGAAGAACAAGTTTTTATTTGAGAACATTGATGTGAACTATTTCTTGTAATTAAATTTTATATTTTAAAGGTTTTTTATATTGATATTTATGTTTTATTATGTTTGAAAGTTTGTTTATGCTGTTTATTTTATGTTTACAAATGTTTTAGTATGTGATGATTCTGAATATTGTGTTGATACAATTTATTTTGGGCATTTTATTCAGCAGTTGCAAATACAAAATGTGGAAATGTTTGTGGGAAGGGGGAGGTTGTCAATTTTTTTAAAATTCATATAGGTTTTCGGAGGCTTACCGGTGGCTTAGCCGTCAGAAATGTCAATATCGAACAATATCTTAAGCAGCTGGGATTAATAGGCAAACCACCAAAAATTACTTGCAATCTTTAGGCGGTCATTACCGCCGGAAATACCACTAGAAATTTCCTGCGATTTATGCATACAAATTTATAAAAAATATACTGAAAGAATGTGTTCATTTATTTCATTAATGTTTCAATCTCCTTATTTAAATGCTTTCAATTTGTTATTGTTGTCTATTTATGAAAATTAGCATATCTGTTAGAACTAATTGCTTATTTTTATTTCTATTTTTGTTACACTTATAGTGTTAATATAATTAATTTTATGTTAACTTATTACTTATTTTTATTATAGATGACTTCAGGTGACAAACCTCCATGTAGATCCATTACATCAATGTTTGGTCGTAGGAAGAAGTTAAACGCTTGACCAATTGTATCTAGACAGGGTGGTCAAGGACATAGGCAGATAGTTGCACCAATAATAGGAATGTCATCACCACTTCTGGGGAGTCAACATCAGTCCCCCACTAAGATGGTATAGGGACAGACAAATCCATTAGTGGTTGGAGTACCACTCGATGTTGGGTACTTCTCAACTCCAACATCTACTAGTCCTCAATTTTTCTCACCAGATCAGAGACACTCAGCTCTCTTCTATCCGTAGTACCCACTACCAACATAATAGTTCCATCAACCTACCCTTATCCACCTTACCATCACCCCTATTATTACCCACCTCGTGTGCAACTAGAACGAGGTGGACCATCAACATAAGTAGAGGTTGGGGCTGGGAGAAATGTAAGTTTAACTTATTTGGTAAAATTATTATAATATAATATGTTATATAATTGAGAAAAATGTTTACGTACAGCTTTAATTTCACAAGGCAGACCACCCACAAGATTTTTGACAAAATATGAAGCAAATATGATGTTCTACACTTATCATGGAAGAAAATCCCAAAAGAAGTTAGGGATATGTGGTTCAGAGAATTTCCTGTATATTTATTTAATATTACTTAGCATTTTTTATTACATTTATATTAATATTATGCTTGTATTTTATAGAAAGATTTTAAGTGATTGCCTGAGCATGATTCAAATATCATAACCAATTATGAGAAAAGAGGTTCTACTCATCTTAGGGAAATATTCATAGATATTAGAAAGTATGAGCAGTGTCTATTATAGATTGGCGAGGGAGTGTGGGATGATTTGATAAGAGCTTGAGCGAGCCCTAAGTTCACCAAATTGAGAGAGCAGAATAAGCAAAATAGAGCATATGATTATAGGGATTTTAGGGAGTTTTCTTCATATGGGTGGCTCAGGGCCTAATATTGAGCATAGATGACGACTAGTAAAAGATTATTTCAATTAGTTTCAAAAATATATATACATTATTGTAAATATGCTCTCTATTTGCGGCGGAAAAATATTCGGCTGACAAGAATATGTCATTGAGAGCAGTACATCTACCTCAGCATTTAATGATACCAATAGAGTTGAAGAAAACTTCAGACAAGGGGTTGCTGCTATGAAAATAAAGATAGAGGAGACGAGACAGATTTAGGTTGAGATACTGGAAGAGATGTGATCATATCGAGCTAAAAATTAGAATAAAAAGAGCAGTAGCATGTGTATGAATCATAGGGCGGCGAGGACTCATAAGATGATTAGAAAATACTGAATTTGATGTTGGAGTTGGAAGAACAAGGTTTTATTTGAGAACATTTTTGTGAACTGTTTCTTGTAGTTGAATTTTATATTTTAAAGGTTTTTATATTGATATTTATGTTTTATTATGTTTGAAATTTTGTTTATTTCGTTTATTTTATGTTTACAAATGTTTTAGTATGTGATGATTGTGAATATTGTGTTGATACAATTTATTTTGTGCATTTTATTCAGCAACTGCATATACAAATTGTGGAAATGCTTGTGAACAGAGGGGAGGTTGTCATTTTTTTAAAATTCCTACAGGTTTTCGGAGGCTTACCGGTGGCTTAGCCATCGGAAACGCCAATATCGAACGATATCTTAAGCAGCTGTAATTAATAGGTAAACCACTAGAAATTACTGGCAGTCTTTAGGCGGTTATTATCACCGGAAATACCACTAGAAATTTCTGGCGGTTCATGCATTGGAATTTATCGACGGTTAAACCACCAAAAATTACCGGTAGTCAAATAGCTGGTAAGTTCTGGCAGCAATTCTACATAAGCTGGCGCTCCGGCCACCACTAGAAACACAACTTAAATCTGGCGGAAAGCCGTAGGAAAATATTTGCGGCGTAAAAAAATTCGCGGGAAACCACATGAAAAATCTATCGGTAACGTATGATTTTCCTGTAATGCTTGATGTGATTTAGGCATTTCATACCCCATCTTTATGATATTTATATCAACCACAAGTCGGACAGTATGAGAAAATTGGTATTTTTTTGCTGGTTTTCTAACTAAATTTCATCCATCAAGTTAACTCCCACCATAAATTCATTTTAATGTCTAAAAATTCATCAAGGCCTTTTTTGCCAATCGTCTGACAGATTACCTCCCTAGAGATTAAGGTCATGACTATAGTTAGGATGCCCCAAAAAAAGCTATCAATATGGTTTGATGGGACAATCCATAAAAACTTTTTGATAAGGAATTTTCAATGGATAATTTACCAAAAATTTCTAGCAAAATTTTCTATGAATTACTTACTAGAAACTTATGTATCGAGTTTCCAACCAAAAATCTATTAGAATCAATAAATTATTTTTCTATGAATTACTTACTAGAAACTTCTGTATCGAATTTCCAACAAATAATCTATTAGAATCATCAAATTATTTTCTTAAAACAATTGATAGCATCTCTGCTCAAAGTTCAATTTTCCATATCCACATCATAAGAAAGATTAAGACTTCGTTTGGGACGGCTTTCTTATTGCTTCTTAAAACAGCTTTTTAGTACAAAAATTAAAACTTTTGTACTAGAAAGCTGATTTAAGAAGTTGTAAGAAAGCTATTACAAATGAAGCCTAAATCACTCTATACATTATTCATGAAACAAATATAACATAGAACTTAAAATATACAATTATCTAAGCCTCTACTTATTGAATATGATATTCTGCTTGAGTTCTTGCTAACTAGGTTCAGTTCAATAAAAACTTAGAAGGTCTTCCCCTACTGAATCCTCATGTGATAAGAGGTTGATTTCATTATGAAGACAATGGAGATGGTATTCCCTTAACAAAATTTGTTTAATAGGAATTATTCTTTTTAATATTTTGTTGTCTTTTACGTATACTATGCTCACTTTTTTCTAACAGAAATTAAAGATTCATAGGCTTATTCTGCTTTACCTTTCTTTCTTGCTCTTACCTTGTAGCAACAGTATTTGCTTTTAAAACAACTTTTTAATATAAAAATTAAAAAGTATCATCCTGTTTTTTTTTTTTTTTTTTGGGACATTTAGGCCATTTAAGGCAAACTCACACACACAACGCATACACAGAGACTCGAACCTTAGACCTCTTAGTTGGAAGCCTTAGCTCTCAACCAATAGGCCAAGGAGAGTTGTGTAAAGTATCATCCTGTGTTACAATGTTTGAAAAAGTAAAAGTTTCAAAAGGAGCGGTTCTTTCTGTATTTATTGTTGTCCCTCTCTGATTTAGTCCTCGTTGATTCTGTCTATATCACACCAGCTAGAACAAGTCACCAATTTCCCAAAAAAAAAAAAAGAAAAAGAACAAGTCACCTCCCTTTCTGCTCAGCCCAATCAACTTAGGCTTCGTTTGGGACGGCTTTTTTGTTGCTTCCGAAAACGGAGTTTTAGTACAAAAAATAAAAAAGTTGTACTACAACTCCGTTTTAAAAAGCAATAAAAAAGCCGTCCCAAACAAAGCCTTAGTCTATAATCTTTCTTTCGTGTCTCTCAAGATATGTGCTTTGCAGCAGTAATTGAGCATAACATTTTTTCCAAGTGTTTATGCCCACCACTTGAGGTGAAAAAGATACCGAGAAAACAAACAAAAACAATTTGCAAGATGTGGATTACCTTAAGAGATAAATTTATTTACAATACCAATCAACTCCTCCTTAGCAGAAAACACCATTTTTCTTGCTTTATATCTTAAGCCATATAGCTTTGCTGATGCTTACGGGTGAATTATTATATTACAAGTTTAATAATGCAAATAAAGAAAATTAAAGGCAGAATATATTGGCATCTCTAATTACAACATCATCCTCTTTATTTGCTCTATAAATAGAGGCAAACAACATCTAGCTAGAATTAAATTTAACATAAATGACTCAAGCCATTGCTGCAGTGATAGCAATACTAGTGGCGGTAGCCATGGTGGTGAGATTGCCAATGGAGGCCACTGCACTGAACTGTGTGGATATGAAGTCCTATTTGCTGCCATGCCTGAACTATGTAAGGTCCGGTGGGGATGTGCCATCCGACTGCTGTGGGGGGCTCACCGGACTTGTAAATGCAGCGAGGACGACAGATGACCGCCGTGCTGCTTGCAACTGCGAAAAATCAATGGCTGAAAATTTGTCCAATGATGAGCTTAACCGTATTGAGACTCTCCCAGACAAATGTGGCGTCACCCTCCCTTACAATTTCAGCCCCTCCATTGACTGTTCCCAGTAAATAATCTCTCAATTATTCCTTACTCATCTCTATTGATTTGTTTTCTTTGAACTAAATTAAGTTAATGAGTTTGTATCTTTTTGTTGCAGGGTCAACTAAGAGCATGAACAACGTGGTATGTTTATGAAGAATACAATTAAATTGATCCCAACCATTATTGATCTATCTGCTCCTAGCTAGTTTTTTAGAGTTTTGGTCCTTCAGTTCTTGTCCGTTGTTACCAAGTTGTACTGTTGAGATTTATTGGAGTTCACTTTTCATGTTGCTATCTTGCTAAGTTTGATCTCCTGTTATCGTGTTGTAAACTGGTTGTTTGCTTCTTTCAGCTTTTCAATAAGTTAGAATGATTGTAAGTTGAACTCTTTATTATGAATAAAAATATATGTTTGCTTCTATATGGCTTATCTTATTTGTTTACTCCTACAATTATTGTGAAACATTTAAGAAAACATTGATAATGATGAATGTTTACTATTTAGTTACTAAACATGTAAAAGTTATGACTAACTTAAATTCTAATGATGATATTTTGGTAGAAATCATATTGATTTTAAAATATACTCATTTTATTTTTGGTTGTGCCAGCATAGGGGATAATACTTTAATTTGTAGAACTTGTGGCTATGCTATTAATAAAAAAACTCATTAAACCATGGATGATTGAGCTTAAAGGAGTCATCATTGAGGGTGATAATAGTAATATTATCAACTATAATAGACAATCATTTACCAAAGAGCCTTGAAAAGGTTCACTAGAGGAGTCTCCTGACCTTAGCTTGCTTCACCAGTTCCACCAGGTGATATTGTTACATATTTGAAGAAAACACAACAAAGTTACTATTGATTTTTGTGTCCATTTTGCAATGGTTTGTAATTTTTTGTGAAAAGAGGATGTTTATATCAATCCTCCTACTTTTTTACCTTTGTGAGAGGAGGATAGATATAAGATTTTGCACACAAAGTTATACTTTTGTTGTAATTTTGGATTAAAGTAGCCTAACATGCACTTAAAAAAACTACACTTTTTTAATAATGAGGTTCCTACATGAATCAATTAAAATTAAATCATTATTTATGCTATCTCATTCTATGCAATCATTGTGGGAAGTAAATGCCATGTACTATAGGCAGTCGCAAAATACCATTAAATTAAGAATTATAATTAATTTAAGGAAAAACTCTTTATATTTGTAAATCTTATTAGAAAATACTTGTTAATTATTTATCCTAAGTTTGTAATGTCTATCATACAAGAGATCAAAGTATAAATAAATTTAAATCATTTATTTCATCTATGTTTGAGTCTTAACAAAAATCAAGAAATTATCTAGCTTTTATAGCTTTTATAATTATATTTGATGCTATTTAAGGAGGAAAAAGCTAAGGTTTCCTTCCAGAAGAATTGTATGGCAAGCTTTCATTTAGAGATGGAGCTCCACTTCCAAATCAAGTGTTATATCTTCACTCTTTTGTAGAGATTGTGGCATAAAAAATTTAATGAGGATAGCCTAATGAGGGCCTAAGTCAATTTTTATGACAGATGCCCTTGAGATAAAAAATTTTGTCAAGCCTCTACAAGAAATAGGGGCATAAATATTCTAATACTATGTAAAAAGAAAGAAAAGTTCATTATAAGTCTCATACTAACTTCACATCCAACATCTTTATCCATTATCATAAGTTTCTTAGACCCTATGATTTTGCTTCTAAAGCCATAAAGACTATGTTAATGCTAGTCGCCTCACTTAAGTCCCTTTGTTAGGCTTATCTTATCCCCACCTCCATTGCCATCAAGAACCTTTCCATTGGTGTGTCATTCCTCAACATCATGGCCTTCCATGTATGATAACATCTCTTCTCTCTCCTTAGGGATTATAACCAAGGCAAGGTGAAAGATGATGAAGTCTTATACTAGGATTGTTTGTTTAAATTTAAGTATTTAATTGATAGTTAATTAAATTATATTTTTATTATTGTAGCATATCCACTAATTAATACATGTAAAGGGCTAATTAAATGGATTTTGGATCATACGGTTGGGAAAGCTGGGAAGGTTTAGTGGAATTAAGGGAATAATATTATATTTCATTAGTGGAGATAGTGGAGATGTATTAGTAATTAAGGCATTTGTGTTCCTTTACCCACTCACTATTCCTAGCTAGGATTCTCTGAAGCAAGCTTCGAGCAAAAGCTGAAAGAAATTTGCGGGATTATTGGTGCTGCGAGCTGGTGCGGGCTGCTGAAAGAAATTTAGAATTGGATAAGGTAAAAAAGTGAAAGGAAATGAAGTGAAGAAAGGAGGAGGTTAGGGAGAAAAAAAAAGAAGCATTTAGAATGCAGACAAATTTATTTGAGGTAAATTTCACATTCTTTTGGTAGGTATTATAAGCTAATTTCATTAATAATAAGTTAAGTAGGATGCACTTATGAAAGAAAAAAAAAAATCCTTTAGGTTGTTTATAATAGGAAAAGAAGCACGGGATTCTTTAGGAGAACAAATTCATCATCCTACCTGGTCGAGAGAATGATGTGAGATACCCAATCTGTAGAATAAAAAATGGTAACATTTTTATATAATTGTAGCAGTATTTTTATATACTTGTGATAGTATTATTTTTATATTAATTATATTTTTAGTTTATTGGTTCAGTTAAGTTCATTACGTGTTCAAATGAGTTAATTTATATAAAAAATTGTTACATGTTGTAAAATAATGTGACATACATATGTTAAGAAAATCTGAAGCTTAATAACAAGGTTAATGAAAAAACTAATAAGATAAATCATATATGGAGGTTAAGGCTGCAAAAGTAAAGGAGAAAGACCTTATGAGGCAAGCATAAGGGACCGTACAGAATGTACCTGACACACTCTCTCTTCTAAAAGTTTTAAGTTAAGATCCAACCTTGAATGAGAGAGTTGTAAGTGTGTAAAAGCCTACAGCCATCATATGACTTGCCTGAAGTATAGGAAAATAAATAAGGCAAGAAGAATGTGGAAAGTTAAAATAATACATACAATAAATTTTACTATTATATACATTTAACATATATACAGCTAATTATGATTCTTTTACTGATTCAAATATCATTTATGGTTTCTTATTTCTTATACTAGGATTGTTTGTTTCAATGAGCTTTTAGCTCTCTAGAAGTGGTTGTATTGCATGAAAAGGGAAGGAGCCAACGGTACTATAGGTAGGAGGGTGACTATATTTTATGTAAATAAGTTTTGGGTGTAGGAAGTTTTATAGTAAGACTTTTGGTTATGTAACTTTATTTAAATGTTTAATAAAGCTATGTATTTTATTTTATATATCATGAATATTTTTTCAAATATGAAATTAGATATAAATTATTAAACTAAAACATTTATTATGTTGGAATAATTGAAATAGATTATTTCTACTATTCTGAATGTGATAGAAGTAATTTAGGATAGCTGTTAGTAAGAGATATGTCTATTTGAATTCTCTCTATCTATTTACTCCAAATTGACAGAAAGTGATATCAGAGCTAAATTAAAGGTAATGAAAGAATAATTAGATTTAAAAATGAAGTTGGTTGAGATTAAATGAATCTAATTTTTATAGAGCTGCAAGTTGAATTGAGCCTTACATTCATCCTAATATAGTTGAATAAGCATGCAGACATAAGATGATTTAATTCATTAAAATGATCACATGTATTATATAAATTATCTATACATGTATAATTTTAGATAAATATGCTACAAAAGTGCCAAAAAGTCTGAATGGTCAATCATCTAGGCCATGTGTAGAAATAGAAATGCACACTAAAAATACCTCTAAGAGAAGCAGAGAAAATGAGGCATCTAAGTCTAAAGAACTTCATGATATAATAAGTAGTAAGAAAATGACATCTATAGAAAAATCTTCTTCAAGCAGTGGACCGATATCTAAATTGGAAGTGAGATGTATCAACATTTGAGGTTATTCCAAACCTTTAAACCCCCAACATTTAAAGGTACAAATGATCCAACTATAGCTGGAGACTGATTGTTAAAGATTGAAAAAATAATTATTGTATTCACTTTAGATGACATACCACATCTAATTACAACATTTTTTAGCTCCCAAATCAAGGTTTGTTTAATAATAATTGGGTTGGTTATAACTCCAATTAACTTCCTGCTCGAGGCATCTGCACCATAGTCGCCTTACCGGGCTAATGGATGGTATCCATATTATAATATTTTATTAATCTAAGCACCTCCTTTGTCTTAAATTTAGCTCTTTCTGAGTAAAGATGCACTTCGAACTGTACTAGTTGATATAGATCTTACACTTTATACCATAAAGATAATGCCTATAAATATTTAATGCAAACAAGATTGTCGCCAAATCCATATCATAAGCATGATATTTATGATATTTTTAATTATCTGGAAGCACACATAACGACCCTCCCATTCTACTGTAGGCTGCAACCCACGCCTTTAAAGGAAGCATCATTGTATACTTGAATCCCTTGGTTCCTATCTAAATAGTTTATACAAAGACTGACATCAAACACTCACTAACTTCACAAATATGATGTTCATTCAAATGATATGACGTTCTGAGTAAATCTTGTTAAAGGGATCATGATTTATGAATTTTTTTTTGACAAACTTTCTATAAAACCTGCCATGCCCAACAAATTATGGACCTCTATCACTTATGTCAGCTTTAACCAATCCACTATAGCCATCACTTTCTTGGGATTCACATAAATTCCCTCTTTACTTACAATATGCCCAAAAAATGCCACTAACTTTAATCATACTCATATTTAGAGAAATTAACATATAACTTGTGTTGCCTCAAGATCGCTACAATCAACTCCAAATATCTTGCATTATCAACTTCTATCTTTGAATATATTAGAATATCATCAATAAATAAAATAATACACATATCCAAATACTCCCTAAAAACCCTATTCATTAGATCCATGAATATTGTTAGTGAATTCATCACATCGAAATGCATCACCATAAACACATATTGCCCATATCTTATACTGAAGGTTGTCTTTGCCACATTTTCAGCATTTACTCACAATTGATGATAACTAATCTCAAATCAATCTTAAAAAATACAACCACACCATCCAATTGATTAAAGAACTCATTTTTCATAGGTAGTGTATAAGTGGTTGAGTGATTTTAGCCTTAGTTGCTATAATAGGCCACTAGATTATTTCAACTTCACCAAACTCTATGTCATCTAAGCAATATCAAACTTTGATAGAACCACCACCAAACCAATTTCCATTCATTCATTTGAAAGTTTTTGGTGAGTAGGAGGTTCAACACCGGATGTTTCACCTAAAAGCTCACTCATAGAACTATATTAAAAGTATCATAGTATAATTAAATTGATATAATTTATTACATTAAAATTTTAATTTTATTTTCAAAATTTAACTTTTTCCTAGTTTCAATTTTAGCTTAAGGGAGAATAATTGCTAGCAAAGCAGCATGTAAATATACAATAGAAGGGAATGAAGAATGATGATTAGCTAGAGACTTCAAAAAACAATTAGTTCTTCAGTCTCCCCTTTATACTTCATCTCCTCAAATTTTACTCTCTTTTCATTGTTCTTTTTATAATTTCTTTCTTTCTTGTGTTGTTGAATAAATTAATAATTATATATATATAATCCCTTAAGATATTAATCTTGTCATTTGGAACCTCCATTATTAGTAGGAACAATGAAGTTACATATCATAAAGACATTAAAAGAAGTAAAAAAATAAAAAAAGCAAGCATTTGAGTAAGAAGCTACAATCTCATTTATAGGCTAACTTTGGCTAATATGGACGAAAGGACATCAACAAAAGTCAACTTTAAATAGATTGACTAATATTTAGTATTAAAATAAATATTTATAATAATTTATAATTAATTGATGAAAATTATTTTCATATTATCTTATTTTTTGTGACAAACCTCCAAAGCTATAAGAGAATCATGAAACTAAATGTACTCCAAAATATCTAGAACACTTGATTCAAGTTGAGTTGACTTAGTTTAAGACAAACAAAGCTAGTTCACGTCATGTTAACTTGATTCATTCGATTTTAGGTTTAAAGTGACTAATCAATTTGCAATAGAACTCTCTTGAATCAGACACATTATCTAAGAACTTGTATAAGTTTATGAGTATAGCTTATTAGTTGACCATAGCGACTTTTATTTATTAATTCAACCTCAACAACAATTTAAGGAGGATAAATTCTTAAGGAAAACTATTGATAAAAAATTTAGTTGCTTGACTACTAATGCACGTCAAGCTGATGGCTTCTTAGAAGCTCGAAAGATGACTGCATCAAGTCGATCTTTTCGACCATAATACATCATTATTATATTTTCTCTTATTTTCTATATATTAATGTATGTATCCAATTTTATAATGTCTAATCTCCAACCCAAAATTTCTAAATACTGGGTCAAGGGATTAGCTCAATTTATGCAATTTTTTTTTTTTTGTAATTGAACACAAATTCCAAAGCTTCTTATTCTAGAAAATTTTCATCTCTCAACTTTTTCAATTTTTTTTTCACTAAATATTCTTAGTATAGTTAGTTGTGATCCATGGAGAATTCTAAATTCATATGCATAATTTTTATCTACACATATTAAGCATCTAAATAAATTCTATTAAATAATATTTAACAATGGCAATAATTAAGTAAATTCATAAATGATATATGGCCTATTTATGATAGCTGTAACGTTAATATGAAGTTACCGCAGGAAAGTAACATAACTACCCTGGTTGCAAACAAAAACTTTCATCATCAACTTTTTTAAAAAGCAATGGGAATGCGATAATAAAACAGTAACCAAATGAAATTGTAGTTGCTGTTTTAAAGGCAATGCAATAAGAAAACTGTCCTAAGCAGGCTCATACTTATTTAAAAAAAATGAGTTGAATGCAGAATTTAAGAGAAGGGAGGGAGCCTAAGAGGGAATAAGTAAAACTAGTGAAGAGAACTTATGATGAGAGGATTGACCTTTTGACCTAATTTTTTTTTTTATTGTTTTTTATCTAGATTCAAAATATAACCTTTATTTGAACCATCTATGCATGGACTGATTTTTTTTTAAAATAATATAAATTATTTTATTTATGGCATAGTGTGGTGGCTGCTGATGTGGATTTTTTCCTAATCTTGAATGTAATTTTTTATTTTTCATATTCTTGAGAAATTATAAAATCTTGCATGTTCTGGGCCGGGCTACAAAGGCCCGCCTTCTCAGTTTACGTTTGTAAACAAATTCAAAAAGGTTAGCCGAAGAAGCTCAGTTGCGCGCTTCTACACCGCCTAAATTCCATCCGCTCTTCCTCTCTCTAGGGTTTCGGACATGACATCACTGGCGTCAATGGCAGCCACTCTTAGCCAATCGGACACCGATGCCCCTTTCTCCGACTGCCCGATCACCTATCTTCTCCCTCGGACCTTCGGCTCCTCGTTTTCCGCCGGAGCTGCGCTGTTCGAGTCTGATGATCCAGACTACATTAGCAGTCTGTTCAACTCCACGGTAAAATTTCTTCAACATTGACTCTTCTCTTAGTATCAGAGCATGGATTCTTGGAAGTTTAAGAATCGGAAACAGTTCGCTGGATCAGCTGAACTAATGAGGTTCCTCGTTTTGAGCCGAATTTTCATGTTAATGTTTGCAAATTTTATTAGTTGGCTTGAGAACTGCTGTAGTTTATGAAATAATGAGATACTGTTTCTTTTAGTACTAAAGTACTTATTTTATAACTAGCAGATTAGTGGGATTTACTCTTTAGCAGTTCATAGATTAATTTTTCCGTGGTGCTAACGGATATTCTTAAAGATAAATAAAATCTGACCTAGTTTTTTCCTATAATACTCACATTGCTTCTATAGGCGCTGAAAAAGTCAGCACAGCTTCTGGAACATGCAAAGATGATAAGCAATAGCAACTGCTCTAGCATTCCTGCTTCGAGCTTTGAAGACGGAAATTATATTTTGGCTAAGAGAAGTTACGAAGGTCAAATAGAATTGCAAGGAAAAAGGGCCCGTCAACGTCGACCTGGCCTTCCTGGTCTTCCTGGTGTTGAGCGGTATGCATGATTTTGTTCAATTATGCTACTACACAAATTCGTTGCTTCTAGACATGTTATTTTTTCCTATGATGATTCGAAATGATTGAACAAGAAGGTGAAGTTGGCACACTAATTGTGGCCTATTTTGCTCCATTTGTATAGTGACTTTTGTTTTAAACAGAAATTGTCTATGATGATTTTGTTTTTCAAACTTTGTGCTACAATTATATAATAGCTCCTGGAATCCTTTTCAATCATAATTTAACTTTTGCAAGGAGGTGTTTTTTGTAAGAACATAATTCAACTATTTATGATCATTAACATTGGTTTAAATTTATACTGAAATAGCTTGCATTAAACCCCAATAGCCACATCTTTAATTTTTTTTGGGTAAAATGAGAAACTATTATCTTTGTGTGCAACTTCCATAAGTTGGAGTTATGGTTTTATATTATGCAATCAAAAGCTCAGCTCGCTTCAACACAAAAAGGTAATGTGGCGGATGACTCATGCTTGCATTGTCATGCCCCAGGATATAAACGGTGGAAAACATAATTACATTTAGAGGTGAGGCGTATCATGCCCCAGGATCTAAGTCGAAAAAACTGCGTTTCTTTTTCATTTAATTTAAATATCAATCAGAGCCGACTGTTTTCATATAAATTGCAGGATATAAACGGTGGAAAACATAACTACATTTATGTAATATTTGCAACTTGATAGAAGCCGAAAATAATGTATGTTCAATAATCATGAATACAAATAATTGGTCCTTCGCTCCATTACTACTACACATGATGACTACAAAAGAATAACTGATAAGTGCATTATGAAAAATTAAGTATGTTGTCTAGAACCTCACTTCACATGGTCCTTAGTTCCTTACTCTTATATGAAAACATGTAAAAACTATATAATGAGCATAAAAGCCCCACAAGTCATTAATATCTACAACTGAAATCAATACATAACAAAAATAGTAAACATATAATTGTAGGAACCTATAGCAGTCAATATGAACAATATCATGTAATTCATATACAATCTTATCACATATATATATATATATATGTATCCTCGTCATACATCATATGATCATATCAGTACTCTATTAGTCTGCTCTATATCATTCATGTTTCTTATATCATTCAATTAGTCTACCACTATCATCAATCAAAATAATTAGTATTCAATCTTAAAAATCATTAGTCTTATCACTCATTGGTCTATCTGTCATCAGTCTTCATATGTCTATGTATCATATGTCATGCTTGTTTGACATCAATCTAATAGTCGGTCCATCAATAATTAATCTGATTGGTCTATCAATAAAGAGTCGTCACTCTCTGCCCGTCAACGTAATCGGTCAATCAGTTATAGACTAACATTCATGTTGACATCAAATCTTTATTTTAAGGAAAACCCTTTGGCTCACCCTGTTATACAGGGTAACATTTACACACACTTCATATTAATCATAATAATAATAACCTTCATATATATTTAATGTCGTCATCAGTATACTCATCTATCATCTTATCAGTCATATCCGTATCAATCTCATCCGACTCAACTAGCACATCAATTCATTCATTTGCCTGCTCTTGCGTATATCATATACTTCATATCATATATACATCTTGATAGAAGACATTATGTATGGCTTCTTGACTTCCTGTATACAAGGGTGAAACCCCCTTTAGCTTAAGCGGGGCAATCACCCCCCCTAAAAAAATTGTTTCTTATATTCTTTAAGTAATTTGTTCATCTCTATCTATTTTTAGTCTTTATTACAAGGGTTTTTAGGCAATTTCCTCCCTAAAAGTTTTAAAATACTATGGTCTTTAGGTAATTGCCCTAAACAAATAGTAAATAGAATTTATTATTTTATTTATTTATTTGAATTCCAAAAATATTCTTACAACCAAAGTTTTTTCTGGGGGCGCTGCCCCTTGACCTCACGACCTGACCGGGCAGGTCAAATCTCGCCAGGCGGCGCTGTCCCCTTAGACCCTCGATATATCTGCGAAGCGTACGACAATCAAGGATATGAACAAATAGAGGTTGCTATTGACCATTTTTCTTGTAGTTAAGGGTCGAGCCAAATTTGAGGAAACACCAACAATTACTTATAAGTTTTCTCCCTTGAAAATTAAGGCTGGTTCCACCCCTGCATGTATACATCATATATACAATCATCATGACATGTAAATCTATAGTGTTCTTGTCATATGCATGTATAATGCAAAAATACATGTCCTTACCGAATGAACAATAACCATATGCATATCATATAACCCATATCCAGATTTAATGCATTAGCAGCTGATCATTTTGCGGTTAATATTTTTCCTACTTAATTCAATTAAAATGCCATATCAATCAAATCATCCGGTGAAACTTCAATATAAGTCATTCAAAATGTTCATAAAAATGATATCTATCACATACCAAAAGTTATATGATAAAAATTCACTAAAACAAAAATATCATATTTTTATCACTTACAAGAGAGAAATATATTGAACCAAAAATTATTGAAAATAGATATAGAGTAGATATCACTTACTATGATCAGAATATTTTTTTATTACAGAATCAATATTTGAAAAAGCCTCGGAAAGCTTCCTCTCTGTTCCTTATCTTCTTCCCTTCCTCAGCTCCTTCCCCGACAAGGAAACGAAGTAAAGAGGAGAGTGGCTGAGACAAAGAAACAAGAAAAGAGGAGAGAGTGTGAGTGGAGGAATATATATATATATATATATATATTTCAGTGCTCGACGCTACGACACGACAAACTAGCGTCGTTGTGTCGCATGCTCATTCCAAATTTATTGTACAACAAAAAGCATCAATGCCGCTGTGTCAAATTCCAGTTCCCCCTTGAGCCATTGTGCTCGATAGCACAACGTCGCAGTGCTAATATGCAAGTTTTCATATTTTTCATTATAAAGGGTTTTTCATATTTTCAAGTTTTTACAATGTGCGTCTTAAGGCATGCCTTAGTGTAAGTTTGAACTTTGAAGAGGCATAAGTCATGAAAATTAGTGTTAAGGTAATTTTGAAATTTTCATTTATAAACTTTATATATCAAATTAAATCTATTTATGATACCTGAACCAAATGAAATTTGAAATAATCGCATGACCTCAAACTCGTAGCTGTGGGACCCTCATGCTTGCGCCCTATCCTGCTTTGTCGCCATCACTGTTGCACCGTCATCGCTTTTTATCCAACAACTCTCCTCTTGTTTTTGGAAACCCATTTCAATAAATTTAACATTAGAAAGGTGAAAAAATTAATTAACTATAATGATAATTTTCAGAAAGACCCTCTTAAGTGATGAGAGTGGAGGAGAAATTTGTTTTCATAAATTTTGCTTTTATACTACTTGTTTATGTTAAACTTGGAGCACTAGAGACTATTTTGTTAGGGTTGTTGGTAGCTTTGTATAACTTTTAATGGCCTTGCTTTGACTTTTAATGATTTTACATTAACAATTTACTTTGATGCCAGTATTTTACATATAATTTCATATTTTTTATTAATTTGATGGTTTAATTTTGAGGCTTATGTCTTAAAATGCTTCGAGGCTTACGCCTCACCTTACAAAAAAAAAAAAAAAGCCTTAATACCTCATTGCACAATTTAAACATTGTTTGGAGAAATTATTATTTTGTTCATATAAATTTTGGAAGAAAACAATTCTATCATTGGCTTTTCCTACTTTAAATTTTAAATCAGTTTTGTACGCCCAAATAACTGTGAGAGGAGATAAAGATCTTATCAAGCTGGATGATTCAATGATGCAATGGTGCAAGTTCAAATTTTCTCTTCCATTTGGCTTTTACATGGTTCAAGCTTGACTAGGGCCGTTGGCAATTACTATGTAACAATATCTATAGGAGGTGTTGGTTGAATTTGAGGGTCAAACTGTTGTGGGTGGTGCAGTGAGCTAGGTGCTAATGCCTCCATGGCAATCAAAATTTGAACAATACGTGTTGAAGGTTACTAGAGATAGGTGACTGAATATTTACTACTTTCTACAAAAGAAAAGATTCATCTTCTGTTCGATATAATTCTCTACTCTACCATGGGAGAAAGATATCCTAGTAAATCCTAACTTTACTGCTTGGCAAGGAGGGAATTGGTTGATGCAGTTGCTTCACATAATTGTTAGTCTTCCTTTGCCCACCCTTCTTAACTTGGTCATTCACTTTTGTGCCATCAGGACATCAGACTTTTCCCTAAGGATGTGTGTCCATGATCTGCTGCTAATCTTCTTTTCTTGTTTTATACTGTCACTTCCTCCTCTTATAATAAAAATCTATTGAAGGGAAAGTTGGTGTGCCCTTTCTGTTCTGCCGTTTCCTTAACACAGTCTTTGATTCCTCCCAATCCTCACAGTCAGCTATCTTCTCATTATATGCTAATTGCTATCACCTTTCTTACTGATTTTTTTTTAATCTTCACCATTTTTCTGAGTCCTGTAATGCTTTATGGTATAGAATCTTAGCTATTAAAAGAAAAGCATAATATAATGTTAAGTGTTGTAGAGATGAGGATGTTCAGGTGGATGAGTGGCTTTACTCCTAGAGTCAGGATACAAAATTAGCATATATGTGAAAATGTTGTAGTAGCTCCAGTGGAAGATAAGATTAGAGGGAGTCACCTTGATGGTTTGGTCATGTAAAACAACGACCTTTTGATGACCCAGTTAGGAAAGTAGATGTACTAGATTTGACTTATGTTAAGAAAGATAGAGATAGATCTAAAAAGACTTGGTTAGAAAATATTAAAAATGACATTCTTTTATTAGGTTTAATTGAGAATTTGACTCTTAACCGAACATAATGCAGAAAAAAAGATTCATGTAGCCGACCCCACGTAGTGGGATAAAGGCTTGATGTTATTACTGTTGTTGTTGTTCACCATTTTTCTGAACTTTTGAATATGTCAATTTATGTTGGTGCAATAGAAAGTCTCTCAAGGGGGTGATGTTTTTAGTCCTATATCCGTTGTTGGGGCCCATTCCCTTGACTTTGAGTCTTTGAGGATTTCCATGCCGTACAAAATTTTTTATCTGCATTCTTTTATATTCTTATTTAATATTTAGAACTCAAAATTTTGTTGATGTAGTCTCCAATACAGTAAAAAATACTTGAAAATAACATTCTCTCCAGCTTTTAGAAATCTCTTGCATGTAAACATTTCATCCATTTATTAGATTAGAGTATTAGACATATTTTTGTAGGATTACCTGGAGTTTGCATCTTAATTGATGTGGCTCTTCCTTTTGTGTTTTCTTTAAAAAAGTTTCCTTTTGCTCTATTCCTACTGGTTGCTTTAAAAATTGTTCGGAACAATGCAAATACCTAAACATCTATGCTGTGATTCTTTGTTCATTGAAATTATTTTTTGTTTCTCTTTCTAAGAAGGATTGTGATTTATTCCTATTATTCAATTCATAGAACCACTACAACAATAACAATAACATAAAGCCTTTATCCCACTATGTGGGATTGGCTTATGAATTCTTTTTCTTCATTGTGCCCTATTAAGAGTTAAATTCTCATTTAAAGAAAAAAAAAAGGTCATTTCTATCTAACCAAATTTTGTTATGATTCAAAGATGCATTAAAAGCAATAAATTACTGTTGAATGATTTTTAATTTTTTTCTAGATTATTCTGATGATAAATTGCATATTTCTTGAGGAACTAACCTGTATGAAAGACTAACTCTCTGATTGTATCTTTTTATTTTAGTTTAGTCCTGACGTGAATTGGATATTGCTTGAAGTCTTTGTGCCTATTAGCTTGTTTTCTATCATTTCAGATCATCATTGCAAAAAATAATATTGGCTTACCCTTGGCTTGGACTAGAGCAGTTATGTATGTGATACAACAACAAAGACATGATCGTTCAAACTTTGCATAGAATATATGATTTTAAAGTCTTTGAACTCTGACAAGGAAAAAAAAAATTCTTTGAACTCTGACATTTATATTGATAAAATCATTATATATCAAGCATTATAGTGAAAGTAAGCATTGGTGATGCATAGTGATATAACTTGCTAATGATCTACTACTAATAAGCATCATCATTGAAGAAAAAAAAAAGCACTTATGCTTTGGAAAACATGGCACATTGGCACTCATTCTACATTATAATGTTTTATCTCCAGTCGATCACAATTCGTAATGCACCAATGTATTGGATATTATCGCATGAATTTCAATTTTATGCCATTTCATCAGTTCATCCAAATCTTTGGCTCATCTTAATTATTATGCTATAGCTATACCTTAAAGTTTAGTGACATGCATGTATGGCATTCACTAAAGATGTTGTTCTATATGAAGATTGAAGATGCATTCATCAATGATTTATCTTCTGTGCTTCCCAGATAGTTGAACTGGAGCTGATGCATGTTTTTGAAGATCCAATTAGTTTTATTTCTCTTTTTATTTGCATCAGGGGGGGACTTGTCTTTAACTTTTCAGCTAAGACGACTGCTGCTGAGGTTTCTCAGATGGGGACATCAGATGACTTTTCCAAGAGGCCATGTTGTGTTGAATCAAGTAATCCATCATAATCTTAAGCATTCAGATGATGGCTACCATTAGCATCTATTGTCCTCAAGTCTATTTTTTCTGTTGAGCCCCTACTTATTTTAAAAGATTCTGTGGCAGATAGTCAATCTTGGCCAGTTATAGACTACAGTTGTCTTGAGCATATCTCTGATCCAATTGAGTATTTCTCAACTTATAGAATGCTTGAAAGTAATCCTCTGCTCACAAAACTGTTTTAGTCTCTGTGATGATTTCAATTTGCATCGGGAATGCTTGTTTTTTTATCTTGGACTTCATGACAGATGCGGAGAAAGAGGTAAAGAAACTAAAAGGTGAGGTTTCTCCGAAGCTCAGCCAACCTCAAGGCAGAAGAGATCGCCAACGTCGTCCCGGACTTCCTGGTCTTGAAGGGTATTCTATGTTTTCTTTCAATGATCTCCTTCTCAAATTTGTAATTTTTCAGTATTTTTCAATAGTCCAACTCAAAAGAGAAGTTCACATCTGAATAATCTTTATTTAGTAGATAGAAAGACATCTTGAAAAGAATATTGTGTAAATTTTTTCTTGTAAATGTAAATCTAATGTTAAAAAAGTTTATTTCATGACAATATTTTCTTTATCGTCATTCATATTTCAGAATAATTAGCTTAAATTTTGGTTAAGAAATAGTTAGTTTTTATCATATGGCTTGATCTCTCTGTGATTGTGTGTTTTCCCATCTCCGTTTTGGTCAATACTTGCCTGCTGCTCAAGCCAATTTTCTGAAGCAAGTCAGAAATTTATATAAGGATCATGAATCAGACATCTTTCTTGTTAATTTTATTTTGGAACACTTCTTGGTTTTCATTTTTCTTCGTAAAGGTTCATGATTTATCTTCTTTTGCGCTGTTCAATAACAGAAGAAAATGGAAGAAAGTCTTGATTTTTCATTGTTATTTGTGTCGATTGATTCCTTGAGCTTCACAGTTATTTGTGAATTTGATTGATTCCTTGAGCTTCACAGCATGTACGATTATAGCAAATGAACAACTAATACCGTCACTGTAAGGCAGATATAAGGAGAATATTGTCAACTTGCTTATTGCATTGATGAAAAATAGTCATAATATTTAATCTTGATTCGGTTTGTCTCATGTCTTTGCTTTCCCGTCAGAAAAAAAAATGTGTTCAAGTTTCCAGTTATGACTGGTACCGTGGAGGATTATCATATAGAAAAATCTACCCAGTCCAATGGTGTAAATATTTCTGAATTAACCATTGCTTCCTGTTCCAAAGAAATAAGCCAAATCAAGAATTCACAAACTGTTGCACCAGAAAGCAAACTCGCTGGAAATGCAGAAACTTTTGGTATGCTCCTATATAAGCAATTAATTTCTTTAAGCATGCTACTTTAATCTTTTTTCTCCTTATTGTCCACTTCTTTCGCAGATTCAAACGTAGACAAGGAATTTGATGAATTAGAGAGGCTTTTATCTAAATGTAAAGAATTAGATAATGATGGTATAGCAAATTTTGTAAGGGAGAGCCTGCAGATTACTCCAATTCATGTGGAGAAGTCGAGAGGCCTTCCATTCTCCATTCCAACAGAAAATAAGTTTGAAAGCCCCAAACTTAGCCATATTTTGTCTAATGCAAACAGAAATAAAATTGATGGGCTGCCAAACTTGAAAGAGCGTTTATCATTAATAATTCCGCAGGGTGATCCATGCTTCCCCCATCAAAATGATCGTGATAAGCAGAGTGATGGTTCTACGGAACTAGGTTCTAATTGCAATGTTTTCAGTGCTGATGGATTAGAGAAATTACCGAGCAGTCAGGGAGGAATGCAGGAGGATTTGGAGAAGCATAAGCCTGATGGCAATGAAATTAGAGTTGATGGGACAGCAGAATTGGAGCAGGTGACATTGAAGACTAAGCTGCCTGATGCAGAGATGACAAATGCCATTGATCACTTATCAGCCTTGAAAAAATCCATTCCATTAATTGATATACAGGGTAGACTTGCTAAAATATCAACCTTGAAAAGGAACTTATTGCAAAATACCACTGATGGTGAACTGCCCATGTTTTCATATGCTGATTTGGAAGATTCTTCATTAAGTAAAATCCAGGAAATGCTTTCTATTTCGCCAGGAGATGTTATTCATCTTGATGTTGGCTCTAAGGATGCTCAGAATGCTTCCTTTCCAGGATTGTCATATCTAAAAAGGTCGAGTTTTGAGGATAAAATGCATTCTCCAGTAGCTGAGAATTCTGAGGAAGATAAGAACATTGGCAGAGGGAAAATATCAGATCCTATAGGACGCCAATTTATTTTACTTGAGGACACATGCCAGAGGCCAAATGGAACTATTTCTGATGAAGAGTTTGTATCTATAGTATGTGGCGCTAATTTGGAGGAGGCAAGTAGTTCTAATGCTTTGTAAAAATTTTGGTCTTGTTATTTGCATGTTTGTGATTTATAATTTTGATAATTTGATGCTTTTCATGTTTTTCTTAGGCTGGCCAGTCTTCAGCTTCAGTAGATCGCAGACCAACAGAAAGTTTAGCAAACCATTCTAGTGAAAATTTGCTTCAGCCCCTTGTTAGTTAACGAAAAACTAATTCTAATTTATACGGAACCTCACATGTTGAGGAGAGTAATTTGAATTTGTGCTACATTTTTGAGAAAGTAATGCTCAGTAAGTTTACTGTCAATTTTCAGGTGATTACTGATGCTTCGGAACAAATATTACATTCAGAGGCGCCAGATGGTATTTATTGTCATTTTAACTATGATGACTTTGTATTTGAGTACTATATTTCTTTATATTTCTTTAAATGAGCGCCTCATTTTAGAAGGCTTCTATTGATAGGGGTTTAATTTGTGGGCATAGTTTCCTTTATTTCTAATACGAGATCCATTTGTTGTTTTCCCAGCTATTCTCTTAGCTTGGTACATTTAATTAGATGGGTAATTTGTGAACAAGTTTTGTGTTGTGGCACTGTTTATTTATCAGCACACTAACACTCTTTATTGACACAAACCTGAGTTTATTTTTTTCTTTATTCCCTTTATCTTCAATATTCTGCATCCCTCTTCTTTTATTTTCTTTCCTTTTTTTTTCTTCTTTCATTTTATTGACCATGACATAGGTTAATTATTCAGGTAGCTGACGTAGCTAAGAGTTTTGAGAAAGAGCAGGCATAACATATTGCTTACGGTAGCTAGATAACCTTTCTAAAGGGCTGTTGTTGCATTGAGACAATGTATACTTGATGCGTTTGTAGATATATAGTAATTTAGTTGTTCCTTATAATTGAAGGAGAACCTATTGGGGAAGTGAGGTAGTTGATTGGTTGTGTGTGTGTGGGATAGAGAGAGAGAGAGAGACTCCTGCTCTAATTGGTGGGTGTCAATCTCTGTCATACTACGACAATGTGCTATTTTATTTTTCAAATTAAGTTTTTTTTCTAGGCTATGCTTTGTGTTTCTTCAAAAATGTATGCAAGCTTGGTTTTATTAATCATTAAAATAAAACTTGCTCATGCTTTAAGCTCTTATGACTTGAGATACTGACGATCAGGTATCCATCACATTGTCTTGTTCACGCATATTACCCTAAATGAAATGTTATGAACGTTCCAGAACTCAAAACAATAGTGGTCTGTATTGCTTTTATTGTTACTTTCTCACTGTAATGAAAGATTACCTAATTTAAATAGCTTATCCCAAATTGGTGGGGAAAGGCTAATGATGATGATGATGGGGATGATAATGACCACCTTATTGAACAGATGACAGCCTTCCAGAAAATTCTGCTTTGATTGATGAACAATTGGAAGCGACATGTGAAGATCTGAATGGAAGGAATAAGGTAAAGCTTCTTATAGTTGAACATTATCCTGTTTTGGTTCAAAATTTTGTTTTTTTTCTATCCACTGTCATTCTTTCTTCATTTCAATATAGTTTATGGGCATTCTAAATCAATGGCAATTTCATTCATGTGTGTAAGCTTGACCTAAACAGATTTTTTAGGTTGATACTTGCATGTTTTACTCTTAGCTTTTAGATAAAAAACTAGGCAGACTTGAATAACCTGCTATATTTATAGTTTCTATTCTGCAGCCTTTAATAATGAGACCATTCATGTTGCTATGAATTTTTTTTCTTGAATGAAACTTTCAGTATTGAGAAGTGAGAACACATCCGCCATGTTGATTTATAATATAGATTTATTCTTTGAAAAAAAGTCAAATCTTGCATGCCATGCTGATTTTCCCATCAATGTTATGTAACTCAATTGTTCATATTTTAGGCTTCTTTTGTCAGGGTGATTTAGTTTTTAGTTACTGATATTGGAATTTCTTCTTAGATTAACGTGTTGTATATAATTTTTTCCCAAATAATTCGAATGATCTTGCTGTAATGCTTGAAATTATTCAATGTAAAATGATGAAATATTAAAAAATTTATTATTTCAAACTAATCCGATGGTTAATGGAAAATCCTTATTTAGGAATGCTATCGGTTGCAAACTTGGTCTGATTAGGTTAGTTACCACATTTGTACTTTGAAACCTGCATCTAAGAATTATTTTGTTGTGAAACTGCTTAATATTTGCTTATGTGGTTAACTTAGTTCTATGCAATGTAACAATATAATAGTTTGTGGGATTTGTGGTACTGTGTTACTACAGGCAGTCGTGTGTATTTTTCTATCTATCTTATAGATTTTTCCCTTTTATGTTTGAGGGGTATTTTTCTATCACACAATAGGCACGATTCATTCCTCTACCTAAACCCCTAACTAGAATTCTACTAATAATATCTTCATCTATTTCACCATCACTTTGAACAATAGACCCAAGATATCTAAAATGTGTATTTTTATTAATGACTTGATCGACCAGACTCACCATCCCTCACTAGATCTATTATTACAAAAATTACACTCCATGTATTTAGTTTTAGATCTACTTAAATTAAAACCTTTAGCCTTTAAGGATGACCTCCATAATTCAAGTTTTCCGCCAACTCCCCCTTTAGTCTTATCAACAAGAAGAATATCATCAGCCAAAAAAAGGATAGACCAGGGTACATGCTTTTGCAAATGTCTAGTAATAATATCCTTGATTAAATCAAAAAGATATTTGCTTAAAGCTGATGGTTTGTTGCATTGAAAGAAATAAGGATGATATGATGCAATGCTTAAAAATAGAGCACACATGTTTAGATACGCTTAGCAGTTCCAATTTCAGATGGTTGCCTAACCAAATCCAGGATTTAATATTTGTTAGTTTTCCTCAGGAATAAGATTTTTATTTTTTAAATGAATTGTCGCTGCTTTGTCTGCTGTGAAAATTTTCTTTCTTGCTTTTGCTTGTTGGGAACAAACTGGCGGTACATGTTAATAGTATATCTAGTGACTTGAGCTTTTTCATATTTGGTTGAGTTCAGCATCAAATCTCTTTAGATTTTACTAACACTGCAATCTAATGACATCATCTAGTGCTGTTCCAGTTTTTCAGAACATCATATTTTGAGTTTATATATAGTTATGAACATTTTAAACATTCAGAATCAGGGACTCACGGTTGCTTCTGGAGGATCTTCAAGCAGAAAATTGGAACGAGAGGAACCTACAAGCAGGCGAAGGAAGCAAAATTCAATTTTGAGAAGGAAAAGCCTTACAGGTTTCTTTTTCAATCTCTAACATATATTTTAACAATTGGGATCTCATGTGTTCTGTTGTACTTGTGTTAATGGATTTTTTAATTACAGAAGTTAATGTATGGGATTGATTTGTTTTGGGTTTAATTGGTATTTAGGTGCTGGCACTGTATGGGAATCTGGAGTGCGGCGGAGCACTAGAATCAGAATGAAGCCCTTGAAGCATTGGTGTGGCGAGAGATTTTTATATGCCCGAATACATGACAGTGAGTATAACTATATAAATTTTTATGTATATAAATCACCTTGATTTAGTTTTCCTTAAATAATTAATTACTTGGCCATGTGTTTTCCACTCAGCTTACAGAAAAATTATTACGTGCGGCGTTCAGATTCGTCCATAGGCGAATTTGGACGTGCCACGTCACCCGGGGCCCGATGCACCCGGGTGATGTGGTGCGTCCGGATTCGCCTCCGGATGGTTTGGACGCTGCACGTAATAATGTCTCCAGTTTACAAATCATTACCCGATGAGGCTATTTTGTTGATGTTGGGGGCTTTTAACCATTGAGCAAAATTCATCATTTTTCTACTTTAATTCTCTTTGGGCATGTTTGGATGTGGGGAATGAGTGCAAGTATATGAAAATAGAGTTAAGAGACTGAAATTGATTTTTCAAAGTTCATAATTATCTTCACCGTTTGATATGAATGTCATTAGTTTTCTTTCTATTTCATTCAAACATAACATGAACTTCAAGCTAATCAAAAGAATTAGGTACCCTATACTTTGATGTTGAGAGGCATGCACAAAATCTTGCTCTAGCAAATTACAAGGATTTTTGGTAGTAGAATGCCCAATCTATAGACAATATTGAGGTGCTGATCCATGGGTGGCTCTAGGGGTGTAAGTGAGCCGATCCGGCTCTAATTCGACTCGTTTATGGGCTCGCGAGCCGAGCTTATCGAGCTCACGAGTTTAGTAAACGAGCTCGTTTAGTAAACAAGCTCAAGTTCGAGCTTGTACCAGCTCGGCTCATGAGCTCGCGAGCCGGCTCGAATAAATATTAATATTTTTAAAATAATTTTATTTTATTTATTAAATTTAAATATTAAGAAATTAATAAAACAACCTAAGTTTTATTTAAATGTTATGCATTTTATATTTTTTTTTTCTAAATTTTGATTAAGTTTTAAAAATTCCGTTTAAGTTTTAAAAATTCCGCCTAATTTTTAAAAATCCCGCCTAAATTTAAAAATTCCCGCCCATGACTCACGAGCCGACTCGAGCTCATTTACAATGAGACGAGCTCGAGTTCGAGTTCGAGCTCACTTTCCAACTAACGAGCCAAGCTATATAAGGGCCTAAACTCGACTCGTTTACACCCCTAGGCGCCTCGTGATCCCATGAAAGTAGAGGCGCCACGTTGGAGTGTCTTCTTCTAGATGCACGCGGAAGCGTAGGATGCCCTAGTTTAAGTGCCAAGTTTCGTATTTTAGCTCTCTTTTCTACATTTAGCTAGTTAGCTAAAAAACAAAACATTATTTACTGCTTTATTTTTAAGGGTGTGATCGTTAAATTTTCTTTTAATCAACACAGCGAAATTAGTAATCAATTTGGCTTCTTTAACTTTTTCTTTTTAACATTTCCTTCTGCTGCAGGCCTAACAACTGTCATCGGGGTGAAGAAATTTGAAACTCCACCGCAGAATGGAAGAAAGACTGTGATGAAGGTGAAGTCGTACGTCTCAGACCAGTATGCAGATCTGGTTGCTCAAGCTGCGTTGCATTGAATGATACACGCCAAGGCTATTATACAGGAAAGTGCTACTCTCTTGAGAAGAAATTATATTTTCAATCTATATTGGGTTGGTTTAATAGTACAGTACCAATCTTGCATATAATGGTACAGAACTGGTAAGGATCTTGCTCGCAAACAATATTATAAGCTGTACTCGTCTAATAATTGCTAGTCTCGTTTCTTTCTTTATCGACGATAAGCAGCGTTTCTATGTTTTGTTGTTGGCCATCTATTATAGCTTTTTGACCTGTAATCGAAGTGCTGGCAGTCTGCCAGAACTTTGTGGTAATTTTTTTTTTTTCGATTTTTTTGTTTGTTCTTTCAGATTTGAATGTATGAAAACTATATATTTTTTATTCCATTTCAGTTTGTTGTTTTAGTTTTGATTGAAATTAAATAGAACTTCTTTGTTCTCTATGGATACTAAAATGCAATTCAGCCTTGATATAGACACAGAAGAAGAAAACTGACACAATGGGTAGAACTGAAACTAAACTTTATTAAAATAAAAGCAGACAATTAAAACCCAACAAGAAACACTAGGAGAAATAAAGAAAATTAAAAGACGCTATCCTCAAACAACCGTTAGAGCGGGTTCCTCACATGCATCGAATTATAAGTTAAATAAGAAAAGTGCATAAAACTAACAAACTGATGGTCCACCACTGCAAGATTATCTAATCTCCTTAACAGATGCTTCAAATCAAACCAGATACGAAAGTTGCTTTATTTTGAGGAGAAGGATACAGATGGAGTGGCACTTGCAGAGAGACGAAAGAAGTTAGAAGCCAAGAAGAAGGGTGGTAAGAGCCCGCAGGATTTTCGGAGGGGATGAGAAAGAAGGATGGAACAAGCTCGCAAGCTTTTTCAACAACCCGCAGATTAATAGCAAATATGCTTAAATAATCAACTCCCTTCATTCACAACATCTTCTCTTTTTTATAGGCAAGATAGAGGAATGCCAAGAGCCATATGACATTAATTTCCTCTAGAACCAAAGCATCATATTTTATAGGACTTCCCAAATGCTCTTCAGAAAACAGCCTATCATGAGAAAACGAAGAAGCATTCACGGGAAACAAGCAGGCCACGGAACCAAAGAGTCATGTTCTCGGGAAAAAGCCCAGGCATGGAAAAGAACAGCAGCCGGCCGTATTTAAGGGATAATGGCTAGGAAAACAGTAACTTCCCTTGAATGTAATTTATAGAAATCTGCCACAATTAAACACAAGCCACGGTTTCCCAAGGGACAAGAAGAAAGGGGAAGAAGAAGGGACAAGTCCACCCCATCATTGAATCCTTTTTAATGAGCTACCTTTTGGACATTAATAAGCTACTAAACTTCAGCTCAAGCAACTTAAGAGAATGAGCTCCAACCCAACCTCCTCCAACCAACCCGTAAACCAGTAGAAGCAAATGGACCAATCAAGCCAGCAAACCAAAGGTCTACCAAGCTCTATGCACAACTTACCATGATCATTGGATGCTTTCCCATCATTGGATAGCTAAAAAGAAAAGAAAATAAAATAGAAAACAAAATATACTATTGTTCAAATAAAATAAAAAGTTCAGAAATTCTAGGTATGAAGTTTGCCTAAACATGAAAAATGTGCTCCACATTACATCAAATGGTTTGCAAGTTGCTTGAGGGCTTCTCATCTCAAGAGATTATTCTGTGCGGAATTCAAGTGTATTCGGAGACGAATCGGGATGAGCCACATCACCTGATGCACTGGGCCCTGGTGATGTGACATGCCCAGATTCGCCTCCGAACTCGTTCAGATTCCATACAGAATAATTTTCCCCTCATCTCATAGCACGCGATTGAACATCTCGAGGATCAATTGTGGAGGATAATTGTTTATTTTCATTAAATATCATATATTGAATTATGATTAATTTTTTTATAAGATTATTAAGTTGATAATCTTTGATTTTTTTTTTACTGCATCTAATTAAGGCGAACCTTATAATTTTGGTCATCCATTATTGGCTCGTCTCAATATGGTTAAGTTCATGAGCAACATAGCTAAAATATCTCGAAGTGGCTCATGATGGGCTATTTTCTATACCAAGTTTGATGAGTCTTCTTTTGGTAAATATTGTTAATTGTATTATAAAAATAATCCCAATAGGAAACATATCAAGTAGAATCATTACTACTTCCAATATCATTTCTCTAATAACTTAACCAAATCATCATCCGTCTTCCTTTCTTTTGCCTAAACATTCTGATAATTTCTTAAAATTCACCTTCGATCGAATACCCAAACAGGGCTCAAATTGTTTGTTTCAAAGCAATACCTTTGAATCAGAATCTGACTCAAAAGACATCATTTGGAACAACTTTCTTACTACTAATTTGTATAATTTTTTTTTTTACTAAAAACAATAAAAAAAGTCATTCCAAATAAAATCCAAGATAAATTGCATATCACTTAAATTTATTTTGAAAAATCTGTAATACAAATTTTGATTTATTATTCATGATTTATTTCCCCTTTCATCTAACAATAAGATCAAAAAACTCATCATGACTAAATTCAAAATTCAAAAACTGATTGATAATCAATTTAATTTGAATCAATTTTAATTGATTCAAGTCGAAATTAATTTCTCATACTAAGATAACTAAATGAAATTAGATATAAGCTTCATTTGAAATGGCTTTCTTATTGCTTTTTAAAGTAATAAAAAAGTCATTCCAAATGAAGCCATAGTAATAGAACAAAGCATTTAGTTGAACAAATAAGAGCTTAAATACATCAGCTGAAGCCAGTTGCCTCTAAACCCAGTCCGAGACATACAAATGCTCAACGTTAAAAACTAAGGGAACTTTTCTCAGATTCAGAGAATCAGTCATGAAAAATAATAACTGTTTTCTTATGGCAAATTATAACTTAAGGCTTCGTTTGAGACAACATTCTTATTGCTTCTTAAAGTGGCTTATATTGCAATTTTTTTAATTTTTGTACTAAAAAAACAGCTTTAAGAAGCAGGAAAAAAACCGTCCCAAACGAAACCTAAATCACTACCAAGCTCGCATCTTTGCGTTCTTAACAATCAGAGACAACAGGACAGCACCCAATTTGAGGCTCAACAATCTGCTACTAGATGAGGATGATTCAGAGTAGTATAATCTGCAAAGATTAGGAGAGCTGGTCTCTGTGCACAACTCTCTAGATTTCTCATTTTTCTCAGTTGTGTTTGTTCTTTCAAGCACGGTGGCTTTCAGGATTCACCTCTTCCGCAGTTTGCGAACTTCTTCATGTATAGGATGGAAAAGAACTGTGGAAATATATCTCTCTCCAAAACTGGGGAAAATAACCTGTACATTGCATCCAAGTTAGTAATTTTGCATGCTCATGGACTACAAATACCGCCTAATCATTAAAAAAAACTTCCATTTTCTGCGTTAGTTCTTAATGTCAAAAGGAATAAAAAAACCATGCATTTTAAACTTCAAATTAATGTGCATAGTATACTTCTTTGTACTGCTTAGGAAGTAATTCTTTTCAAATGGCATTTTGACATGTGAAAAATATATTTCTTACAAATAATTTTCATTGTTGTATTATTAGCCTTACCTCAATTATTTGGGATCAATTTTGTGAATCATTGGTTTTCATTTGTTCTTACTTAGTGTTATTTGAGATATAAAATATATTCTTCCTAAACTATTTTAAACTTTTATCTATCAAATCTTATATCTCCCATTCGTCTCAATGACCCATTGAAACTAATATTATGTACTCACATTATGGGTGCACTGAGAAACATGCAATTGCATTGTGCAATCACTCTTAAAATTTTATAAACCCTCATTTAAAAGTCAAACTAGTCATTGCACGGTGTTCTTGAGCGGTTCACACTACCAATAGAATAGGATCGTAAGTTCTAATTTTGTAAGTCTGATCTTCCTTGCAAAGGCTAAAACCAATAATACTTGAACCTCGAAAATGGCCTCGTTAACTGAGAATCTCCACAGGAGAGAACTTTATTTTCAAAATGCCTTAAAATCCCCATGCAAATCATTCTGGGGCCGAATTCAAGTAAAATACAAGAATATCAAAGGCTAGAGCAAAATCTAACTCCATAACCATTTAATAAGGTTGATAACTTTGAGATTAATCGCAGCTCATAAAAAAGCCATTTTTATATTAGATGTATCATTATGTTCACTCTCAAAATATCATACACCTATAAAGACGTGACACATGTTCTATAACTGGATGATTTTGCTACCAAATGGCATTAGTTTAATAAAGATTAAAACTGAGACCCTCTAAAAGGGTGGTTTGCTACAAAATGACATCATTATATTATCATCACGACCATAACCTGAATTTTCCTTAATGGCTCTAGCCCCTTGAGTTGTGAGTCAAAAGGTATACTTAATAAAGCCCTTTATTAGCTAAGGTTAACTTAAGATTGTCCTCTTAGACAAACATCTACACTAAGTCTAAAAAGTTCCCTTGGACGACCTAACCCATGGTTGCTGACAAAGATTTTTTGGTCAGATTGGGTTGACTAACTCCATTGACTAAGCAGACAAGGATTCATGACAAATTGAGACGACGGAATCACAAGATCTTGATCGAGTTTGCTATTATTCCCACTTTAAGTTAACAACAATAAATTTTCAATCCAAATATAAAAAATTGATGCTACAAAACATTAAGCTTCTAGTGTCAAATTAACGACTAATTTTGATAAAAAATTCTTTCCTATCACTGGAAGGGCTAATTAGTATAGAGGCTTGTGCCTATATGAAACCTGAAAACAAATCATAATATCATCCCAAAATGAGGATAAAATCTCTAATTAGTGTCTTATTTATAATAAAATCTTCTAAAATTTTCAACCAAAACTTGACTCACTCAAAAGAACTGAGCATAAATTTTTGGAGCCCACGCATGGCTAAAAACTAGAAGTTCTCTAAATCTATAAGGTCCCATTAGACGACGCAACCTACGGTTATCGACAATGATAATTTGATTAGGCTAGGTCGACTAACTTTGCAAATAAAGTAGAATAAGGTCCATAACAACCCAAGACAAAGGAACCATGTAATTTTAATTGGATTAATCATCATTCCCCTCTTCATGAACTCTTCATGGACTCTAAGAAAAAAAAAGAAAGTACATTTTCTCAATTCTAAATCAAAAGTGCTTCTACTAAAAGCTAAATGTTTAGCACCTACCAAGTACTCTTAATTGAAAGTTTTCATAATTGAGAGGTTAATTAACTATA